GTTTTATGACATAAAGAATGCGATCAAGAGAACCAGTTCTAATCCCAGTATAAAATGCCAATACTCCAATGCCAAACCATTGGTTTACCTCCAAAAACAGGTGGTTATAGGGTGTTCTTGTGTTCCTGGGCGACTGCACAAACTATCTTTTAACAAAGAATTTGATATACTGATCTCATGTAATTACACCTAAGTATAGCCTTTACTTTAATGAACATACTATTTTTACCCCGTGCAAATAGTCACGTTGATATACTAGACTCTAAAGTATGAAAAAGAATAGGACATACATGTTTTTAAAACCAAATGGAAACCTAAAGGGAAGGGGAAATTTTCTTTTTGTTCATTCAATTTTAACAGAAATAACAGCTTAAGATTTTTTTTTTTATTTAATACTTATATTATTTTTCAAGGAAAAGACCATTTCAGGCATGAAGAATATCATTGCTGAGATGGAACAGGCATCAAGGTAAATCAGTCATTAACAAATATTGGAGCACTTACTGGGGGGCCAAGTACCATGTTAGGTACAAAGATAGTAAGAAACAAGGGGCTTAGTGATACGTGTAAGGTGCTAACTCTCTCATCAAAGGAGGTCTAAGTCTGTCTAGGGAACTAAAAGAGGGGATGGTGTTTGCCAAGTAAAGTAAGGGGAAGGGAAGGGCATTCAAAGTAGAAAGAATAGCAAAGAACCACAGATCACATTCGCAAGCCTCTTGACCTACAAGTGGGTTGAGTGTTGTTGAAACCTAGAGCGTGAGGGGAGAAGTGAAGGGATGAGGCTAAATAGGCAGGCAGAGGCTTGCATTATAGACAAATGAGTATTGATTATATTCTTGGGGCAATAAGATATCATTAAAGAATTCTGAGGAGATTTTTGTATTAGAAAGATACCCAAGCAGAAGAGGTGATGATAAATTGGGGTTTAGGAGCTGTGGGACAGAAGGAGTGAAGTGCTTTTATATGAAGGAAAGACACTAGGAAAATGCCAAGTTTCTGGCCAGGGATGAATACTGAACACGAAGAAAGTATGCAGAGAAAAAATGATTTTACCTCTGAATTTGAAGAACCTTTGGGACCTTATTGTAGACATGTCTAGTAAGCAGTTAAATATAAGTCTGGGGTATAACAGAGGGGCTAAAGCTGGAGACAATTATTTTGGAGTCATTGGGTATAGATGGGGTTGGGAACCATGGATGTGAATAGAGTTTGTCTGAGAGAAAGGCTGGAGTGAGAATAATTGAGAGGCTAAGGCTTGAGCCCTGAAAAGCATTAATTTTTAAGCAGGCAGGGGAAGAGGAACCTGTAAAGGAGACTAAGCCATAACAGAGGTAGGATGAAACCCTTGCTATTACTTGATGTCAGAAGTTTTGAAATATTTGGCAAATCATTGACTATTATGTATACTTAGTATGCTTTTCATAGTGAAATGATGGCAACATTGAGAAATTCTAATGCACTGTCTTTGCAGTATTTATTCCTATAAATCCAAATGTGTTTAAAATCTCTTCAAGTGTTTTCATGTTAACTGTCCATCTTCTGTCTTGTGAGAATTTGTTGCTCTGTTTCAGTAAAATGTCTCTTCTTATGTACTCTTTGATTTGTGGAATAGACAGTCTACTGAGGCCCTAATTATGTGTGAACAAGACATTTCCAGAATGCGTCGGCAATTGGATGAGACAAATGATGAGCTGGCCCAGATCGCCAGGGAAAGAGATATCTTGGCTCATGACAATGACAATCTCCAAGAACAGTTTGCTAAAGCTAAACAAGAAAACCAGGTACATTTGTTCCTAGAATCATTTTCTCCAAGAAAAAAAAAAATGCATTTCTTGTGAGGAACAGCCCTCATTTCATTTTATAGAAGAGCTCAGATGCTGGAACTAGCCTTTTTTTTTTTTTTTTAAGGAAGCAAGTATAAATGCCATGCTGTTCTTGCACCAGCTGCATACAGCCACAATTACTGAGATAACTGGCCCAGATCGCCAGGGAAAGAGATATCTTGGCTCATGACAATGACAATCTCCAAGAACAGTTTGCTAAAGCTAAACAAGAAAACCAGGTACA